ATGAGTGTGTGCATGTGCAGGAAAGCAAAAGAGAGCAAAATAATAAGAATGTAAAAGTTTGTATCCTTCACGCTTCTCTGTCTACAAGGACAACCTAACACCTGCCTGTGCAACAAGGCATCTGGTGTTTGAGTGCACACAGGTGTAGTGGTTGTTCTGTGTGGTGTGGGTGATGATGATGATGATGTGTGTGTACATGCGTCTGCATGTAAATATTTCATTTTATATTGAGGCTTTAACTTTGTTTGCCAATAGAAGCTATTTTCTTCACCCACTAAGGCTTGACTTTATTTTGAGAATCTGTCACAATGAGTAGTGGAGGTCAGTGTCCTCCCAGGGCCCCATTTGCCAGTGTGTGCTCTGTATATGTGTTTTTGTTTGTGTAAAGGAAGTAAATTTTAATCTGGACAAGAAGTTTAATAGTCTGTCCGGATGCCTTTAGACTAACCTCTGCTTGGGTGTTGCCATGCAGCAATGCTAGTTTCTAGGATGAGCCAAAACTAAGGTGTGTGCATCCCACTGGTGCCCCAGAATCTCTGTCCCATTTAATCCAAAAGAAACTGTGTTGACTTAACCAAAAAAAAAAAAAAAAAAAAAAAAATCCCATGTTTTGTCACTTTGAAAGAGACTCATGAACAACACCATGGGCTAAAATTGACAGTAGTAATTCAGATTAATCGTTGCTTCGTTTCATTCCATTCTCACCCCTTTTTGTAAAAGACACAATAAAAAAGAGATAAATAAACACTGTGAGTTTGCAGGAAGGTAAATGTTTGTGAGGCACTGCAGAGACCTTATAAAACATGATGGCAAAGAGCATTTTAGCATTCCTCCCCTGTTCTCCTGCAAACACTGAGTATGATAAATAATCACCGGAAGAAGCATCTGTCTTTTATCTGTGTACACATGGCTAGAACAAGACTGTTAGCTTATATCAAAAGTGGGTTTTTCTAAAAAGTTGAAAGTGAGAAAATAAATATGGTCATAACTGAAAGGAATCTAAGTTATCTTTGAGAAAATGCATGCAGGTTTATGATGCCAYATAATCATATTGTTTCTAATTCAGACAGTGTGCTTGTGTATGTATGTTTTTTCGGTTTATGCCATGAGTTACATAAATTGTGTTAAAAACTGTGTCAGAGGTCACCTGCCTTAATAAAATACTGCCAGGAGGGAGGTCAGGTAGCCTTGTGAAATGCCAAACTCAGGAGCTGCTTTACAACTCCGCATCCACCTCCCATCAACTGCTTAACGGGGAAAGGAAATGCAAGGTCAAGCCGGAAATGTGAGCTTAGAGAGAAAAATGGAAAGAATAACTGTGGGGAAAGAAACCAAAGGATGCTGTACCCACATCCACAGCAGCCCCATTAATATGCAATAATCAGTTGTCCTCTAAATGTTTTTACGTTTCGAAACACTTGTGTGCTAATGCCATTCTTGGCCAGGTCTCTCTTGGAGAAGAGATTTTTAATTATAATAAGATCTACTTTGTTGAACGAAGGTTAATGAATAAATGACAGTGTTTATATCTGTACCCGGTAGGCGGAGCAGAGGTGCTTCCACGTTTATATTAACTATGACAAAGTTAAATGTTTGCATTCCTAAGTACACGCATGCTATATATTGGGAACACTTAATTCAGTCGCATCGGAGTAAACATAAATAAAGAAAGGCTGGATCAGTGTTTGTAGTGGCTACAGCACTGTGTGTTCATTCTGGAAAAGCTGCTTTGTCAACTTGATATCAAGTGACAACTTGCTAAGCTTCAGTGTACAGCATCATTCTTTAGTAGATCATRGTTTTGCCATCAGGAGTTCAGAAATGCACAATACACATATAAATTACATCCATGCCCAACTACTGTTGTGTTAAAATTTGTGCATCCAAATGTATGCAGTTTGAGTATTCTGACCTATGATGTGCCAATAAAAATATATATAACAAGAGAGAGAGAGAGAGAGAGAGAGAGAGAGAGAGAGNGAGAGAGAGAGAGAGAGAGAGAGAGAGAGAGAGAGAGAGAGAGAGAGAATCTTTTCAGCTGTAAACCGGGGTTGGTATGACATTAGTTTGCCTCTTCCCTTTGCATTGGTTTAAGGAATTTTGTTGTCGGGAAATATTTGGAATATACTGGCAAACAAACGAAAACAAGGAGACCGCACGTCTGCCAGAACTGAATATTATTCTGTTTTACGGAAATGATGGTTAGTGTTTGCTTTCATTTGCACTCCATGTCCAACCCTGTTTCTGTTTTCCTCCCTCTTCYAACCCACTTGTCTCTTGGCTCAAACCTGTAGTTCATTTCTTGTGTAATAGCCAGGCTTGTTAGAAGCAGCTGTTGGTCCTCTGTGGCCAGTGAGACATTGTTTCTGAACACACAAAGCTACACATCTGGAGAGGCATTAGTGGCAGAGGACAMAGTGAAGCAGTTCTCACACACTTCTCTAACACAGCACAGAGGTCAACAAGGTCCTGAAAATGTATTTCAGCAGAAATTGGCAAGTCAGATGTAAAAAGTTACATATGTGACATTTCTTTTATTTATTTATTTTTCTTTTTGGAATAGTACAGCATAATCTTGATACAATTTTTTTGTCAACAACCAGTTCAGAAATTACCCTATATGGTTTATTTACTAACATTATTTAATCATGACAACAAAATCATATTATTTTGGATTATATCTTGTTTCAGAGTCACTGAAACTCATTTGAAACAGTCTTTTTTTTCTCGCTTGTCTTTAAATTGTTTAAGAAAATCAATTTTGATCATAAAAAATCTAAATGTGGATATTTTGAATGTGTTGTCAGATCAAATAAGCTTTCTGGGTGGAGTTTGTATATTCACTCCATGCATGCGTGGATTTTCTCCAGGCATTTTGGTTTCCTTCCACAGACCAAAAACATGAATGTTAGGCTGATTGGTAACTCTAAAATTGTCCCTAGGTGTGAGTGAGAGCATGGATATTTGTTTGTCTGCATGTGGATTTCATCCCAGGCCAGAAAGGATTTATCACTGGTGTCAAACTCTGGTCCTTGAAGGCCGCTATACACCATGCATTCTTGTTTCCCTGCTCAATTCAATTTGCATTGATGKATGATTAATAGGCTCCTACAGATTTGGTAGAGGTAAGTAAATCAGGTGTGTTGGAGCAGAGAGAACAAGAAAACATGCAGGATAACAGCCCTCAATCACCTCAGTTTGACCTACAAATGATCCATCCAGCAATTTCTGGCTCTGTCCGTCTGTGCTTAGAAAACATCCAGAAGGGCGTGGCCAGGAGGCCAGTCTCTCAAACTAATTTGGCTGTTTCCTTTTGATGAGGAGGAGCTGCGGGTCTACTTTGAGTTTTTGATGACACTCAGAAGGGTATTCACATTCAATATGAGAAAAATGGTTTATACTTTTTTCAATACTTATATTTCTAATAAAACAACATTTTAAACTAGTTGGCAGTACTTTATTTTAAGTTTCAATCAGATGAGTTGTCTAGAATCCCCCCCAATAATTAACTATTATATTAGCCATCTATTATTGTTGATTTGTCCCATTCAAATTATGTTGTTTCACATCTCTGATTAGATACAGCTTTTTTGTCCACACTGAGGCAATTACATCACTCTGATTTGAGATAAGTGTTTTTTTGTCTTTTGTCCTCTTGAACAACAAAACTACTGGCAGAGAAATYGTGTCTTTCTCCAGAGTTCTGCCTTGTTTATGGATTCATGCTTAGAAGGCACCAAGCACGGCTAGGGGTGGGCTGATGTTTCCAGCCCCACTAAAAACTGTTTTAAAAGAAAATATCTTGTTAGGCTTCAGTTTAACAACAACAGAAAAGTTTTTTTTWAATTTTATTTCTGTGGAAAGTATGTTAGATATTGTGTGGTACTTTCTATTTATTGTGCTAAGAAAAATTCTGTAGTTTGGTTTTAAAAAGTGGTATCCATTAAACAGATAATTGGACAGCCAAAATAATTTTAAAACAGATGATTGTTGCTTAAACCAATTAGATATTTTAACTCTTGTCACTTGTTTTTCACACAACAATTGAATAATTTGCTTTATGCTTGTAAAGATTTAAATAATAAAAACATAGACCAAGTATTAGTCCTGCTCATACTCCCACACGCACCCTTTCTCCCTTTTACAATAAAGTATATCTCCTTCCATCTTTAACTACTGCCAGTTATTATATTTATTTATACAGTTCTGGTTCCTCTTTAGACACTCGCACAAGGCTTGCAGGAATCTCTCATGCTGAGACATTTTGTAATGTGTGTTGTTAGCGTGTGAGGTGGATTTCAGCATGTACTTAAGGTGTGTGGGAGCCTGCTGTGCTTAGGGTGTTATTCTGCCTCTTAGTCAATAAAGCACTTGGCTGAACTGGGTTGGATCAACCTGGAATTCATACTGAGGTGAAGAAAAAAAAAGAGGATGGACAGTGAGTGAAAGGCATTTCTTTCCACATTTTCATCATCAGGGGAAATAAAAATGAAATAAAAGACGAAAGCCATATGATGGCACTGAAGATAAAATAGTAGAAAAGCAGGGATTTGAAAAAATGTTTTTGTGACTTTATGTGCTTGTTAAAAGTAAGGGCGTACTCAGACGGTCCTTCTTAATGATGTGCTTATGAATAATATGGAGGTGGCAGTCCCTGAGAAGCAGGAAAACACAGAATACAATGGCACCGGTTCAATGCATCATAACTTGAGTGCATTTAAAGCCCACTTCAAAGCAAATTATGTTCTTTCAACTCAAATAACAGCTGTTCCACAGTACAGCATATGAGCTCACTTTCGGTTGAACTTACACACTGTATATGCATTGTTTTGTATGGCTGTTTCTGAAACCTTTTGGAATCAAATGAATTTAATGACAGGATCATGTTAAGCTCTAAACATAACATTTTTTGAAAAAGCCTTGAGAGCACACAGTGATTACAGTGGTGACCCTTCTTTCTTTCTTTATTTATTTTACGGTTTTGTTTTTGTCCCTCCCAGGCGAGGAAGTATCTCCAAGATGGAAGCCACCAGAAGGACAACCCGGAGGTGGTAACACACAAGAAAACCCATCTAAGCCACCATCAGTGAAGGTGATAGGAGGCTTACCATCCAGCAGCTGGCTACAATCTGGGCACCTTATTCTGCTTCTAGTTGGACTTTGTGTGCAATTGATGCTATTCTGATGACAGCACTGTTTATAATTCAGTGCTCTTCCCCACCCCTGAAGAAACTTTTATGACACTCGGATCACAAACAGGATTTATAGGCCTGTCCTCACTCTGTATGGCTGTACGTCAATGAAGAAAAAAACAGAAATGGAGAGCAGGACAGCATGTGGATACCACTGTAGGAGCCTGCAGATGGAATGCTTACAACAAGAACTCCTACAACATCACCAAATATTAGACTTGCTSTTTCCACAATACCATTTGGAACTTGACAAAAAAGGAGCCTTATACAGTTTTTGCTTCACTTGCACAAATCTAACCTTTTTTGATTCAGATGGGTTGCATCATTCTTAAGAACATTTATAAACACCTAAAAAACATGTTGCTTATAATAACATCCTTCTTCCTTTTTCTACTGCTGATTTTCTGTATTCTTAAAGCTTTGAAGCTCTTCGCAGCACTGCATCAGTGCCACCTGTGTGGAGGACTTACGCTCATTTGAAATCTCAGCTCATTACTTTTAGGGGACTACGATGTGCATGATAAACTGATAGATCAATCCCAGTTGCCTGGCCCAGAACAGCAGATTTGAAATGCTCATATGACTTGTGTACCTTGCAAAAAAATAGAATGTAATGAGTTCACAGGTACAGCAGTGGCTCACTTGCACGGTTGAACATATTCTGCAAATAAACTACGTGTGTATACTGTAACTGTATATAGGTAGAAAGATTTGATGGAATGTATGATATCTTGATCAGAGAATAAACAATGCTCTTAACTGATTGAGGTTAATGAATTATTTTACTTTTTTTTGTTTCAGATGGCTATGACTGTGCTTGTCAGCTCTACACTACATCTTAAGAATAGTTTTTTAAATTATTTTATTATATTTAATCAACAAAAAAAGCAATAATACATTTTTTACTTCAAGTCAGTACATGAATGAACATTTTCTGGACTTACTTTCTTTTTTTGTGTGCATCTTGTGTTGTGTGTTTGCTTGTTGAATTGCACATTGTTGAATGTCTAACCTGCAAAGGTACCAAAATATATAATAACCTTGCCCATATTTTCTCACTACCAAGATCACATATTCTGATTTTTTTAGAAGCCATCGATGCAGTTGTCCTTTATTTATTTATTTTACATCAAATAGAATCAAAATAAACTCTTATTCTTGTAAAACATTTCTTGAATTCCAATGGTTAAAATGTGTTTTGGTCATTTTGCATTGGCACAGAACCAAAATAAAAAGTTAAATAAATTAAAATCTATAAATTCATGTATCTATATGTGGGTCTCTTTATACTAATTTTATTTTGGAGGTTTTTGTTGCGCAAACTAAAAATATATTGATAAGTATTGGCACTGTGATGTGCCTCTTATAGAACAAACATTAATATAAAATGGTACATAAGTACAATTTAAAGTCTGACTGTGCCATATATAACTACACAGAAACAAAGCTTGGTTAAATATTTAGCATAATGTCCAATAAACGTTTAATTTAAGGGAGAAAATAATGAAAAATCATCATAGAAATGTAACATTCTGARTGTTGAATCAATGTGTCACATTTTATATTCTGCAACCACATTTGTTTCCTCCCTATAATGTTTTCTCCAGACTAGTGCCCACTCCACCCATTCATGATTTACAGCTCTGTACTCTTGCATGTGTATAAATGTACATAATTTTCTTTCTTTGCCATTTGTTTTGTGTCTAATTGTGTTTCTTTTGTATCACTGTGATACTGTGCAATTGAGCCCTAATAAAAGTGCTCTGCTCTTTTGTTGGTTTCAGTCCTCTGTTCTAAAAGAACATCACTGTCARTATAGATTTGCTTGGAAACTAGCTTTACTTAACACTAGGCCCATCCATGAAAGATCTGCAGGTGTTTCCCCCTTTTTTATCCCTTTTCTTATCCCCTTTTTTCTTAACTACTCTTCAGTTGTTAAATTGGCAGGAGTTATAGATTATGCTTGCTTTTTTATTTCACACTGTATCTGTTAGACATGACAATATTCAGAGTATTTTTATGTAAAAGACTGTCCACTCTTTTTTTAGTAAATCTTCACAGTAAATCCCAACACCTCTTTTAAATACATAAATGTATTTTATTTCACTTTTTTCGTCCACCTTAAAAGTCAGCAGAGGTTTACATTGTAAAATACTGTATTTATAAAGACTGAAATCACAATTTTAGTCAACAGGGAAGAAGACTAAGCTACAATGGTTTGGGGCAGGACGAACTGTCTCAGTCTGACCTTCACTATTTGCACTAGGGAGGACTTTAGCTAAACATATCAGTTTGTGTTTGCAACAAGAATGGGGCAAAGGGATGTGGGAGTGCTGCAGACATGAATATGGGCACAGATAAAATCATCACAGCAGCATCTATAAAGACACTTCTTGAGGGAACTTTACCTATTCATAAAATGAATGTCCTCATGACCATTAGCCAAGCTAAAAATACAATGTGAGGTATGTTTGTGTGATGCTAAACACGTTCAACTGCTGTGTCTCAATTTGAGTGCTTCTGTCTTTATTTATTCGGTATTTTTGATTTCCATCAGTGATAGATTAAATATTTATTCATTCATAATAGTTGTGTTCATGGTGACAAGGCCAGCTGTTAATGTTGAACACTTCTCGTTGTCAATGGTTTCTGTTTTGCTAAAAAAAAGTAAATGATGACACACCAACTTTCAGGTAAAAAAAGATAGTTTATCATCGCTGTCAATAAAAATACAACAGAGGAGTGTTGCTTTAACTCTTATGTGTTTGAGAAGTCCTTGGCTGTGTATCAATTCACAGGCTGCATCCTCATGAGTGCACATTTGTCGGCAGCTGGCACCCCCTCATCCGACCAAGAAATGCAGTCCACAAAATCTCGAAAATCAAGGATGCATTAGGGTATCCTTCCTGACTGAGTATATCCCAGGATGGTGAAGTTTTTATTATTTTAACGAGTCGGCATAGTTTGGAAATTCATCCTGGACTGAATAATTTGTTTTTAAACGCAAGTTTAGCAACTTAGCTGACTAAATTCATGCTGCAGTAAGATGTTAAATAAAATGCAACTAGTACTGATACTGGAGCCAAACCCAAATCATTAATGATTATTTATTTATTTACATGAAATGTTTTAATTGTGAAGTTATTACTCCAGTGAAAAGACGTGTAAATACATGCCTCAACACATTTTAAATCTGATGTGAAACCAATCACTATGGTAACAGAGTAGTGCATGGTCACGCAAACATACGTCTTGTGAAGGCTAGACCATCTCATTTCACAGCAGTTTTATGCAGACTACCCAGACTGAGAAGGATGTGGCCCAGCTGGGCTATGTACTCATGAGAATGCTGCCCATGAACTGAGACACAGCCCTTGAATGTCCTGTGGAAGCCATTTGGAGCTGCCTAAATGCTTACAAAGCCCCACCTGTTTACACAAAGCTCCTCCCTGGAACTCAGTCTGCAGCCAAGTGCCGCTCCATCCAAAGCATTGTTGTGAAAACATGCTGAAATGGGAGTGTCAGAAACAGTAGGAGGTTTTTTTTAAGAGACAGTGATCAATTTCAAGGTGTTTAGATATGATCCAAAGTCAAATAAATTTTTGACATGTACAACATTTTCATTTTCAACATAATTACTTAATTATGGGATAGAATGTGTTTAGAGAATGTAAAACACCATCCACATAACTTTATTAAATAAACAAAATTAACAAGCTGTCATGGCAGCCTAAACTCTTGAAGATAGAGAACCAGACATGGTCTAAGCTCACACAATGGAAAACTGGAAAATGGATGGAGCTATCTAGGGAATAAAAGGACTGGGGCTAAGATAGGAGACAGCCAAACTTAATGAGACAAGGAACAGATGTGAGTAGAGCTGGCAGGACTGAGGAGCAAAAGCTGAACTGAGGAAAAGTAGTGGGGAAATGAACGGATAGCATAGAAAAAGTCAGAGTGACAAAACAGAGAGTAAGTCAAAAAGGAATTTGGCCAATCATAAACAAAAGACTATCAAAAAATCAACAACAAAAAACATTCATATACTGATRGTGCATTTAAAAAATAGCCGAGGCACATCTTCAGTGTTTTTTTTTTTCAAACAGACTTCAAATCATCAAAACATCTAATAAATTACCCAACAGATAGATAGACAAATCAATAGAAAACAACTTTGATAACGTCAGGCAAGATTATAAGGCAACATTTGCCTTCCGGGTCTCACCATGTTTCACAGTTCTAGTAATTAATTGGAGAGCACATAACTAAATAACACTTTCCTATAGCTAAAGCACTCAATGCCACAGTGAACACAAAAAGTCATCACACACCAGTGATCTCATTACCACACCCCATCTCACAGTTGTGCACATCCAACTGCTTGCATACTGCATGTGATMTTTATGCTTGCAGCTAGGAAACTCAGTATCTGGCTGAGCAGGAGAAGAGAGCATCCAGTCTAAGGAGTTTGGAGCCTGAACTTTGTCTGAGTTATAATTGGGCTTCATTGTTCTTCCTCACCAAACCTTAGTTATGCATTATCTTTTAATGACCCCCACAAATGCGTGTCTGAAAAAAAGGGCAGTAACGGAAACAAATTTAGAAACTGAAATAAAGCTAAATAAAAACATACATAAACTTTAAGGGCTAGAATGGTCAGTAAGTTTAACAGAGTTCAGCTGGGAGCTGAGGTCACAGCTGCTTCGCTGTCTGTCTGGGTTATTTCTAACCATAGCGCGTGCGCNCACACACACACACACACACACACACACACACACACACACACACACACACACACACACACAAGAATATGAGAGGGGGACATAGATAAATCTTTACCACCTTGAGGATCTAACACTAACTGTATTATTTGTTAGTGCTGTACCATTCCCACCTTCCACCTCCCTCCCCACACAGCCATCCCTCCGAATTGAGGTTGTCTTACCTTTTTCAGAAACAGGATAACTGTTACAAGCTTGAGCTGGATGTAGGAAGTAGAGGAGGGGTGGAGGAACTGGAAATAGCTTTTCAAAGAAAGACAATTAGGTGAAGGGAGTCCTGCGGCTGCTGTTAACCACAGCTCTCCCTGCTGACTTTCAGACGTCAACTGTATCCATTTCCCCCTGCTCTGTGCTCCCTCTGCTCTCACAGTGGGCTGCAGGCAAACTGTTGCTGCCAGCTGTCAGTCTGTTAGTCTGTCACTGGCAAATTAGGCTGTGTTCAGTAAGTTTGTGAGTTGACTGTTTAAGTTTGGCTGAACTAATTTTCAACAAAACAGGCAATGAAAAGCAACAGAACTTTTTTTAAACTTCATAAATTGGCAAGTTTTTTTAAGTTTTTTTCTGTATGATCATGGAAAACTGTGTTGCATGAAAAGGGATTTTAACTGACATTAAATTCTCTAAAAGTCAGCATGCATGTTGAAAGCAATGAAGTCAAGAAAAGTAAGTTTTAACTTGAATCTAGTCATTTTCCCTCCCCTGATTGATGCCTCTGGCAAGTCATTCTGCACAAATGGTATCAAACATGAACAGTCATTCAGCTGTGTAATAATTACAGAAACTATGAAAATCCTAACTTTTTTTATTATTAAAAAAAGCTGACTTTAACTTCCCCACTAAAGGCCAGGGGAATTTGCAGCTGGCTGGGACTACTTAAAACCACTCAGTGAGGAAAAACAGCTGAGGAGGTTGTCTTCAATGCTCATGAAGGGGAAAAAGTGCATTTGAAGCCAGTTTGTCATGTCTCAAACAAATGACATTTTGAATAAAGGCAAAGAAATATAATTGCAAGACCTTTAAGAATTTGAGGAAAATTAAGAACAAAAAGGGTAAAATAAATATTAAATGCAGTTGTTTTGTATAATCTGTTCTTGGTACCTGGATCTTTTGTTTGTGTCTGAGTCATACCAAAAATAATTAAATCATTATTCCCTGCAGTGGCTCTCCCCTGAAACACAATGAGTTGACTTTTAAGTTGCATWTATTCAGTTTTTACATAAGGACATTAGATTCTGTAGCATGTGAGTTATATGACGCATTTGGTATTTTAGCGTGATTGATGAGGAATCTTATCATCAAAAACGGACATTTTYCAGTACTTCATATACTTAGAAAACAAAATGAGTGGTCTCTTATGGGGCTCAACAATGTTCCAAAAAAAAGAACCAAGTGAAATTCAGTTATAAAAAAAAATAAAATACAGTACAGTACATGTTGCATGTCCTCTACCCACACTCTGCCCAAAGCACAGCATTTCTGCCTTCTACTAAAGGCGCCTCCAGTTTACAGTACAGTACCATGTGGTGTGTAGCTGCTAACTGCTTGGCGCTCACGTGTTTTTGATTGGCTCTCACTGCATCATGATCCCACCCCAAACGCACTGTAGGCCTTTTCTGGAGCGCATCCAGTATTTGCATTTTTTAACAATTTGCATGTATTCTAAGATAGTAACTCCTGTGAAAATCAGAGCTTCACTGTACTATCTATTTCTAAGTAAGAAATATAGTCTCGTTAGAGTCAGACTTTTTTAGACATTGAATTTATAACAGTAAATGTCCATACTTTGCAATTCTGTGTGTTTTTTAAGTACTTCAAATTTGCCTGCAAACAATCCACCTGCAAAAATTTGACTGAAAAACAAATTAAAACTAAACTGCAAATGCATCTCAGCAATCCAGGTAGAAAAAAAGTAGGTCCTCTGAACGGGTTCTTCTTTAATTAAATATTTTGTCTCTCCAACAACAAACTTCTTCAGTCTTAGGTGTTTCAGGT